GGGTAGCATCGCTTGGGGCAGACTAGGCCCCCTAATTACCTCAGCCCCGTTAACAGCGTTTGACTACAGGCTGTATGTGGCGTTAGGCACGCACTGCTTTACAGGCCTCTGCATTTAACTCTCCACTGTTTTTATAAAAGGAAGGCGAACCGGCTCAAAACAGTTAAAATGACTGATCTGGGTCGGGCGTTAAAGCAGGCTCCTTTAAAAGAAGGGTGCATCAGTAAGCGCTATTTCTAGCTTTTTATTTTTTAGTAACGCCGCTGCATGCTCATGCTGCCACAGGAGAGAGCAGGCCTGTGTATTTTGGCAGGAGCGTGTTCGCCCGCCGGCTGTGCATGGTCCCCTTACAGCTCCCTATACTTTACCGAAGACCTGGCGATGCCACAGTGCCTGTTTTTTGAGGTGAAAAGCAGGCAACCTGGTGAAGCCTGTATCATAGGTGTTGACAGAGCTGCGCTGCAGCCCCTGCCTTGCTCCAGCGTGCCGGATGCGTGCGGTCAGACCAGCTCCCGACATGGCGGTGGGTGAGGCAAGGTTGCTGCTTGGCATGGTCCTCTCATCCCACTCAGCAGCAGCCTTCTGTCGTCGCCTGGTGTGGCTGGGGTCTGGCAACGTTACCTTCAAGGGGGCTGAGGAATCCGCAGGCTGTGTGTTTCACAGCCAACAGTCAAACAGTTTGTAGCCAGATCTCAGGATTCGGCGTGAAGTGCTATGACACTTTGTCAGGAAAAGCGTTTTCTGTTGGAAGATTGTTTAGTATTTATTTTTATGGTTATTTCTATTAGATTACAAAACGAAACATCATGTTATGTGAAAGTTTACCCCTAAGTGTGAAAAGATTGCAATCTGAAATGCTTTTTTGTTCATTTCACAAGTCTTTGAAGGTGCTGTTGTGGTGCATCTTGCTCAGGCGCACATGAGGTACTGTCCCCTGACAGTCTAAATACGCCAAGGCTAATAAAGGGTGGGTGGAGGTAGGAAGATGAGGAGTCTTGTCCAAGATACGTAATTACCTTGGTGGCAGAACCGGGAAGAGTTTCTTGACTCCTGTTCCGAGTTTTCTAGACCATTCTGCCTGACATAAAGGTTGAGATGATGACATCCTTAATGTGATAATGGTAGGACATACATTTTCAGGTGAACACCCACTTCCTCCCTTAGAAGAAGGAGGCTGTTAATGCCTATTGTTGATACCTCCAGCCAGCTGGTGGTTAAACCCCTGGGGGGAGTTCTGCAGCAAAACTAGAGAGTGCCTCCCAGTCCACACTGGTGCAAAGTCATATTCATTAGCTAGAAGAGCCCTCTAGAGCCATTCACAAAGTGACTGTGTTTCTATACCCTGTCTGCCATAACACATACTATTCCTGATTACAGACACAGAAACTACTTCCCTTTCTGCAGGGTTGAAAATAGGCTTTCATGTAAAAAGCAGATTATTAATTTAGCGTACTTGGAATGTTTCTCACATTGGCTGCTTTATTGTTCTGTTTGTGTCTTTTTTCCCCCCAGTTATGGGATTGTGCTCAACGTGATTGATTTCCACCATGTTCTCACAGTGCTTGCGGGATCTATTAAAGATTGCAAATCTTCATCTCCGGAGTCTGGATTTAAATCTGCATTTACGAAACCACAGAAGAGCTTTCAGCAAGTCACTGCCTGTATGTCGAAGGAAAGTAGTTGTTACAGGTATTGGCTTAGTGTCCCCTCTTGGTGTGGGGACTCAGTTTGTTTGGAAGCGCCTTCTCCAAGGAGACAGTGGGATTGCATCACTAGACGGGGAAGAATATGCAGGCGTCCCATGTAAGGTGGCTGCTCGTGTGCCAAGGGGAAACGAGGAGGGTCGGTTCAGCGAAGAAAGCTTTGTGTCAAAGTCAGAGATCAAATCCATGAGTTCTGCCACTGTGATGGCCATCGGTGCAGCAGAGCTAGCAATGAAGGACTCTGGCTGGTCTCCCCAGTCTGAACAGGATTGCTTAAGTGCTGGTGTGGCAATTGGGATGGGAATGGTTCCGCTGGAAGAGATTTCTGATACAGCCGCTTTATTTAAAACAAAGGGTTACAACAAGGTCAGCCCGTTCTTTGTCCCAAAGATTTTAGTCAATATGGCAGCAGGCCATATCAGCATTAAATACCAACTTAAAGGGCCAAATCATGCTGTCTCAACTGCTTGTACCACAGGCGCGCATGCTGTTGGAGACTCCTTTAGATTTATTGCTGCTGGTGATGCTGATGTCATGTTGGCTGGAGGGACTGAGGCTTGCATTAGTCCTTTGTCCTTGGCTGGATTTGCAAGAGCTCGGGCCCTCAGCACGAGTTTTAACTCAAGCCCTAAAATGGCATGTCGACCATTTGATTCGCAAAGAGAAGGGTTTGTAATGGGAGAGGGTGCTGCCGTGCTGGTCTTGGAAGAGTATGGACACGCTGTACAAAGAGGTGCTAGGATCTATGCAGAAGTTTTAGGTTATGGACTGTCTGGTGATGCTTGCCACATAACAGCGCCTAATCCAGAGGGAGATGGTGCATTCAGGTAAGAACTATATGTTGATTATGATGGCTACTTCATATGTTAATTTATAGTGGGTACGTTTGTTTCTGTTATTGTATGCTTTTCCTAGAGAAATGCTGTTCAATCTTGAATTAATATTCCAAAAGCCTGAAAACTTAATCTGAAAAATGAAGGAGCTTCTTGTAAGGTTTTGCCCCAATTTTCTTTTTTTTTTAGTCACAAGGTGAAGACCAGTTCTTGCTAGAATCAGCCTTTTTGCACAGTTACGAAAACTTTCTCTACGTGAAAATATTTTGCGTTTGGTGTCTACAGCTGTTCACACAAACAAGTCTTAATGGAAACCTCTTTTTTGAGACTTCTGTGGTATGATAGAACCTTTTCAGGTTCTCCTTCACCCTTTGTCCATAGAGACGAGAGACCCCACTGCAAAAGCAGGTCATGCCATTTGTTGTGGTCTGAAAGGGGAATAGCGTTCCTAAAGAAATCCCAAATGATGAAAACTGTGGAGGATCTAGTTTGTTAGAATAATTACGGTACATGTAATTAGCATTAATTGTGGCTATTCTTATTTAGAAAATACTTCAGCTCTTCATAGGGAAAGTGTTCAGACTGCATGCCAGTGCTACAATCATGTTGAAATACTTCATTCTGATGCAGCTAAGAGTGTTGGTGGAGCGGCATAGCAGAAATACACTTTAGTTGTGTTTAGTGAGACGGTAAAGCTTCATCACTGTTAATCTCATCAAAACCAGATCACAAGTAGATGATATTCATCTAATCTTTATCATTGACCTAATTCAATTGTCAGTTAAATTACGTGTGTAAATTTGTGAGCTTTGTGTAGCCTGAGTACTATTGCTGACACTGGAATCTTTAGTAAGGATTTAGTTTGCATTATTCTGAATGTATGTGAATATCTAATAACAAAATTCAATATATCACTGCACAAATAGATCAAACTTCTGCATGGTATTGTAAAGCTGTGTTTGCATCTTTATTGGGTTAGCAGATTTTTCAAGAAGTGTAATATACCAGGTTTCCCTCTATGCTATTTGATTCATATTTAATTGCTCCGCAGACTTAGGTGTGAGTTGAGATTTCAGGAGTGTCTTATCTCAGATTTTCAGACTTGTTTACCCTTGAGATGATATGGCAATATATTGTAACAGAATTTTTGTATATTTTATGATTGCAATAGCATATAAATTAAATTCACAGTGGGAAGTAGTTGAAAGTTAATCTTGGTATCTCCAAAATGTTGAGCCTTTCTACCCTTGAGATGAGATAATACATTTTAATACAGTCTTCAAACCAGTATTTCCTTACTGCAGTGGTGTATGGATTAAATCTGAAATGTATGTGCTTCTCTTACTTTTCTGGAGGGATTTTTATTTGTCATGTCAAAAAATTTCAGGGGAATATATTTTTTGTCATCTTCTAATAACTACTTCAGTTGCAGACTAATACATATGTTGGAATGAACCTGCAGGAAAGGAGAGGCAAAGCCAGACTCAGAAGTGTGGATACAATGTGTGTTCTACACAATTAATCTGTTATCTCCTTAAGTAAATATGTTCCTTGCAGCTGACATATTTAACTAAATTAATGTATCTGATTCCCTTATGGTTGATCAGTAATACTTCTTTCTGAATGTTGGCTCACTGTCTAGTGACAGTGAGCATCAGTGGCCTCCAACCGAAGCTAATCTGGATGCTTTGAAGGTAGAAGCCTGAACTGGAGACATTTAAATTTGTCCAGCAGCCTGTGCTATCTTTTTTTTGAGCATCTTTTTATTTACTTATTTTTCATAAATTTCAAAAGAGTCAGTGGTTTTTTTGCTCAGAGATACGTTGTTAAGCTGTGTGTGCAAGGAGAGTTGTGTGATTCATCTCCTCCTTTCTGTGGGAAGTCTGTGAGAAAATCCCAGTATGGACCTGTATCAGTCCTTCAGTGGTTTTCATAAAAAAGCATGTTTCATAGTGGCAGTCACGGTGCCCAGGTCATCAGGAGTCAGAATGGAACATGCTGTGTCAGGGTAGAAGAGTGTGACTTTCAGTAAATTTAATTTTATATGTAGGAATTTCTGCTATCTCCTTGACATCTTTTAGCGTCTGGGAAGTATGCAAAAGAAGCTCACAAGGAGGATGACTGCAGACTTTTTCTTTCATTTCCCTGTATTTTTGTTTGTCAGAGCAATTTTTTTTCCTAATTCCCTAATACTGTAAATATGAGGGGAAATAAAATGTAAAAAATAAGGAATCTTCTCTTCACTTTTAATGGGAAGGGGATATCTCAGACCATTGTACTGAGTGTTACATTAATGCATTGCTACACTAGAGAAATTCCAGTGGAGGAAACCTCAATTTTTGTGATAATTTCAGGTAGTTAATTCTCTCTCAAATGTTTTCAAATGTTATGTTGAAAAGGGTCTTTGATATATTAATGCAGTCTGTAGAGATTGTTGTATCTTCTTTCTTTCTCTTTGTATTTTTCTCAGCTGTGGCATCTTTAACAGCAAGTCTGATTTTTATAGTGGGCCTCACCGCTACTGTCTTTCTCACGTGGCTAAATGTAGATGCTAGTGTGTTTAGTTAGATGAATCCATCTCTTGTCATTTACATCTCTGGTAAAGTATGTCATGCAGATTTTCACATTTGATAAACAATTTAAAACTTCCTATACATTTAATTTTGGTTTGTACGCCTGTGTTAGTGACAAAAATATAACGAGAAATTCAGCATTCTGTCTTTTTTTTTCCTTAGGTGTATGTCTGCAGCAATAAGAGATTCCGGGATCGAACCTGAAGACATAACATATGTCAATGCACATGCAACTTCTACACCTCTAGGAGATGCTGCTGAGAATCAAGCAATCAAGAGACTTTTTAAAGATCACTCACGTAATATTGCAGTTTCCTCAACAAAAGGAGCAACAGGACATCTCTTGGGGGCTGCAGGAGCTATTGAAGCAGCTTTTACTACACTGGCCTGTTACCATGGAATTTTGCCACCTACTCTAAACTTACAGAAAACAGAGGCAGAGTTTGATCTCAATTATGTTCCGTTAACAGCTCAGGAGTGGAAAACTGAAAAACGGCGTATAGCACTCACAAATTCATTTGGCTTTGGTGGTACTAATGCAACTTTGTGCTTCGCAAGTGTTTAACTTCTGCTGTGCATGTTGTGAAAAATGGCAATGACAATGATTTTTTGTACTGCCACGCTTGGTGTGTACTGCGATCTTTTCTCAGCTTTGAGAATTGCTCATTTGATATGTAAGAACTTTATTCACCCTAACATCTACATCAGTAATTCTTTTAGAAAGTGGGAACTTCTTTTACTCATTTTAATAAAAATAAATAAAAGACCTGTTCTTTGTGTGGTAAAGAAGTTTTTGTTCTTGACTAGAAGAGGAGACATTGATCATTGTGTGTTTGTACTTCATTAGAACAGATTTTTCATATGCATGTGACACAGAAATTGCTTGAAAACATTTATGCAGAAGGGAGGCTGGCTAATAAGTTAGGACTCCACAGTCGTGACTTGATGACTTACTGCGTGATGATACAAGGTTTATGACTGAGCTCCCCTTTGTTATGCATTCCATTTATAATTCTGCTTTTTTCCTCATCGTAACTTGTTTAAAATATCATAGACTTTTGCACATTCTTCCACACAGATGATATTCAGGAGACAATAATATAGGAGTTCATAAGATTTCTGACAGTGCTTAATTTTCTTTTCAGCTTTATTCATTTCCATATGTTGTGTTACCTCATTAGCCATGGTGTGGAGTGGTAACAGTGAAGGATGCATACAGCGTGGCCTATACATCTTCCATGTGGCAGGGGGATAGAATTAGTAGGTGATAACCTGTTTTGTTCTGAAATTTTAGACAAGAACAGCAAGGTAGATTTTCAAGTATGTTATTGGGGATTTAAAAAAAAAGCTACACAGAAGGGAAAAAGACTCTTGAACCCCCGGTTGTTCTGCCAAAATGTAAAAATAGGACTAGCCAAACTTGGAAAAACAAGGAATCTTTGAGCAGAAAAAAAACCACCACAAACAAACCATACGCAAGAAATAAATCTGGATCTTGTGTTGAGGATAAGAAAGGGTAAGAAAGAGAACGGGAAAATAAAATTATACCTAAAGCTGACATTTTTATGGTGGTTTAGATCTCTTGCAAACAACAAGTAAAGGACTTTGGCTGTTCCTTCTGGCACCAGTCAGCATATTAGCCAAATAGTGCCTCGACTGACAGTGCGGATGCGAGTGAAGACAGACATCCCTATTGGTGGGTTAATTTATTAAAAGACTTCAACAGTTTTCTTTTTGAAAATATCAATCTGAGCCTTTGACCCACGTAAGTGGAGGCAAAGTAGCTCACTGGATGTAAAATAAAGAACACACAAAGTACCTATACTATAAGTAAATTTAATTCTGGAAAGAGATTACTAATGGGCTATCACGAGGCTTAGCAGTACCCTAAAACCTCATTATTTTTACAAATGGTCTGAATGGTGATAGGGAACAGCATAATTCTTGCATTTGCTGTCTCTACTAAATAGAAAGTTAAAGAGAATGATGAGAAAAATGCAGTCAGAGAATGATTAAGACTCTTTCAGAAGCTGAGCTCGTACAGAACAGTGCAGTCTAAAATAGATTAATGAATAATAAGCCTGAAAGTAAAATAATATCTCACCAAAGGGAAAATGTACAAGCATGCAAACTAGAGAGAGTATTGGAATTTGCTGTCGGGAAAAATACCTACCAAGCTCTTAGCTTGTGATAATTTAAGTAGCAGTACAATGAATGAGAATCTGGATTGCATGCAATATAAAAGGCAGAATAAAAAATTCAACATTACTCTCTGCAAATTATATGCAAAAAGGAATTGATTTAAAGAATTCAGCCTCCAGGAGAGAGCTAGCAGCAGGATTGTGAATTTGGGGGAAATCATCCAGCAAGTTTCTTCAGGAGATAGTATTTTTTCAGGTAGTTGTAATCCTGGGTGGAATATGGGAAGACTAGGTAGTGCTGCATTATTGTAGACCTGAAATACAGTCTAAGTAAACTCATCCAATCTTGCTACATAGCTGCAGACCTGTAATTAATATGGTGACAGAGAGAGATGCCTCCCTTTCCCTCTGGTAGCAGAGATCATGGCCCCAGGAGTGTTGGATGCAGACTCTTGTGTACCAACCATGAAAAGACAGATTATACTGTCACGCAGAAACATAAAAAAGAAACTGGAATTATTAAAATATCTTTCTCCTCACTTCAGCTCATTGCAATTTAGTCATCTGCTGCAGGTCACCTTTAAACCATGAAAGCTTTGTGACAATAGTTATTTTAGGTGGTTTGATTATGGATAATTTTAACAGGCCTAGATACAGTAGTAGATAGTGTGCTCTGTAAGGAATTAGGATTTTTTAAAGAAATTAATAGAGTCAAAGTTTAACCCCTGTATATTTGAATTTTGTTTGTATAGGTTTCATTTTTATGTACTTGTTTGGAGTCATCTCTTTTTATCACATACCCCACTGAGCTGATCTGGGACTACTTACTGCTAATTACTGCTTTATTATGGTAGCTGCAAACATAAAAGGAAAATAGATCTTCCTCTGTTGCTAAACTATTAAATGGGCAAATTGACCAAGGTTTAGACTGGATATTAGGAAAAAGTTCTTCACTGAAAGAGTTGTCAGGCATTGGAACAGGCCTCGAAGACAGGTAGATGTGGTGCTTGGTTTAGTGGTGGGCTTGGCATTCAGTGGAATTTTCTATATTTAATCAAACGTCTTTTCTAACCTAAACAATTCTATGATTCTATATTAAACCAGAATGCTTTCCCTTAAAATGCTCCCTTCATCAATAATCAAGACATGTAATGGTCTGGAGTTTGGATTGAAAAAACTTAATATTTAGACTCATAAGCTTGGAGTTGCAGTCTGAGAAGCAAAGCCTGGAAATGCTGGTAGAGTGTTTTGTTTTAAAGCCTACTTCTGAAGTGGTGTAATGCACTTGTAGGAGCCAAATGCTGCAGGCAGGATCACAGAGTGGCCAAGGCTGGAAGGCACCTTTAGAGATTGCCTAGTCCAGCTGCCTGCTCAAAGCAGGGCCAGCTAGAGCAGGCTACTCAGGGCCACATCCAGTGGGCATTTGAGTATCTCCAAGGATGGAGACTCCACAGAACAGGTCTCGAAGACAGGTAGATGTGGTGCTTGGTTTAGTGGTGGGCTTGGCAGTGTTAGGATAACGGTTGGACTTGGTGATCTCAAACGTCTTTTCTAACCTAAACAATTCTATGATTCTATATTAAACCAGAATGCTTTCCCTTAAAATGCTCCCTTCATCAATAATCAAGACATGTAATGGTCTGGAGTTTGGATTGAAAAAACTTAATATTTAGACTCATAAGCTTGGAGTTGCAGTCTGAGAAGCAAAGCCTGGAAATGCTGGTAGAGTGTTTTGTTTTAAAGCCTACTTCTGAAGTGGTGTAATGCACTTGTAGGAGCCAAATGCTGCAGGCAGGATCACAGAGTGGCCAAGGCTGGAAGGCACCTTTAGAGATTGCCTAGTCCAGCTGCCTGCTCAAAGCAGGGCCAGCTAGAGCAGGCTACTCAGGGCCACATCCAGTGGGCATTTGAGTATCTCCAAGGATGGAGACTCCACAACCTCTCTGGGCAACCTGTGCCAGTGCTTGGTCACCCTCACTGTAAGAAGTTTCTTACATTTCAGTGGAATTTTCTATATTTAAAATTGTGCCTATTGCCTCTTATTGTTTCACTGGACACTACTGAGAAGAGTCTGTCTCCCTCTTCTTCATTCCCCCGTCAGGTATTTATACACATTGATAAGACTGGAGCCTTCTCTTCTCAAGGCTGAACAGTCCCAGTGCTGTCATCCTCTCGTATGTCAGATACTCCAGTTCCTTCCTTATCTTTGTGGCCCTTCACGGGACTTGCTCCAGTATGTCCATGTTTCTCATGTACTGGGAAGCCCAGGACTGAGCCCAGTACTGCAGGTGTGTCTCACCAGTGCTGAGTAGAGGGAAAGGATCATCTCCCACGACCTGATGCTGATGCTCATCCTAATGCAGCCCATGATGCTTTTGGCCTTCTTTGCTGCAAGGGCAGCTGGTCCATCAGGACCACCAGGTCTTTTTCTGCCAAGCTGCTTTCCAGCTGGTTAGCCTGAGCGGGAATGGCACATGGACTTATCCTCCTTCAGGTGCAGGGCTTGGCATTTCCCTTTATTGAACTCCATGTGGTACCTGTCAGCCCATTTCTCCAGCCTGTCCAGGTCCCTCTGGATGGTAGCACACCCACCTGGTGTATCAACTGCTCCTCCCAGTTTTGTATGATCAGCCAGCTTGCTGAGGACTCTATCCCATCATCTAGGTCATTAATGAAGATGTGAAACAGTACTGGTCCCCGAATATCTCTCCGGGGTACTCCACTAGTGTCTGGCATCCAGCTGGACTTTGTGCCACTGCTCACAATCCTTTCAGCCCAGCGTTTCAGCCAGTTTTCCATCCGCTTCACTATCTATTTATCTAGTCCATACTTCATCAGTTTGTGAATAAGGATATTATGGGACACCATATCAGAAGCATTGCAACTGTGATGCTTTTTAGCAATCCAACTGATGTTAAAAGAAACATCTGTCTGAATATACATATCCCCTCAACCAAAAACTGCAGACTGTGATTCCTGGCTGCTGCTGATAATCGCGTCAGGTTTCCTTGTTGAAATGTGCATTGAGATTAAGAACGTGAATGTTTTTTGAGAAGTATCTCGGTCCCAGTTGTTTACTCATTGGTGAGGTAGAAACCAGGTAAAAATAGATTATTTAAAATATTGTTCTGAATTAAAGCTTTTAACTTAAACTAATCATTTTAGAAATAAATACACTTGAAACAAAAACTGGAATTATGACAACTTACATGAACCAACTTAGTTAAAGGAACCTAATAAAAAGTTGTGTTATAAAAACATGCAAGCAGCATATGTATGCTGAAATCTTACAGAAGTCAAGCCACTGCTCAGGATTAATTATTGGCTGTCTCTAGAAACAGTTTATTAAAATGATAAACCTTGTTTCATTTTGGACTTCTATGGCTTGTTCTGCAAGTGCAGAGTATATATTCCTCAATTCCAGTTTACTCAGGTTAGTTTAGTTCAGCGTGC